CAAGTGGTTCGTTGGCACCCATCGTGAACTCCTTCTGCAGCGCTCAACGGGATGACCAAATCGGGGAGGCAGTCTCGCGGATTACTGTCCTTTACATTATGACGAAGTCACCAGGTTTGATGAAGTAGGTAACTGTCTTCTTGATGGGCTTGTCCCTTAAGAACATTGCGGTCGTCAATTTTTTGATAAAGTGAATGAAAACGAGAGACCGGGTGCTGAGAGATGGACTCTTTCAGCAGCGTCTTCGGGACATCATGCTGCATGTGTCGAGTCGTGGTGCTACAAGGAAGGTCGGGCAATTGGCTGTGTACCGATTTGACCTACATGGTGCATGTCAGCAAAGAGAGTGTACAGGGGGGAGAGTGGGGGATAACAAACGATGGCCTGCCAATTACTTTTGATGGGTTCCCATTGCGATAAAGGCAAAGGGAGGAGCGCGGAGTTGGATGCTGAGGTCTCTGACGCCGCTGGGAGAACTCTGGAGAGTTGGGGCGCACCTGGTCCAGCACGCCTAATTGGTGCGAAGCAACGAAAACGATGTAAATCATCGAATTTTCGAAGCCCTACCCCAACTCACTCGTCCCTCCGTATCACAATGCGCCTTCCGCCGTTCCATCGCCGGCCGTGGTCAAGAGCTGGATGTCCACCTGGTTAGCAGTCACCAGTCAATTGTCAGTGGTTAGCAAATGACAAAGCCTGGACAAGACCTCGTGTTAGATCTTGTGGAATGACTCAATATCCTTCTTTTTGTCAAAATTCTTCGTCCCCTCGGTTTTGAGTGTGTCGAGCACGGAATCAGCAGCACTCCGAGCGCAGTACGCACAGAGGAAAGAATAATTTCGTAAACTGCGCGTGTTTCCCCAGTCTGTGGACGATATGTGATGCCTTCATGATCAACATCTTGCGTCGCCTCAACGACCGATGACACCATGGGGAACGACAATCTTGAGACAAGCATTTCCCTGTACTTATTACGGGTTGCCCTCTAACTTCTAAGTCGTCAGGTAAACTATAAGGTTGCTCTTTATTATCCCTCATGAGGCTAGCAATTACCCTTGAATTACCCTCTACACGCATTGACGAGACTCTTACCGAGGATCTAGAAAAGTCCTCCATCTCGTCGTCGAGGATCAGGATAGATGTCAGTATAGGTGTCGTTAAATAGGTGTATGTCGTTAGGGTACCATAGTTAGCATTGATAACAACAATTATTATCATAGTTAGCGTTGATAATGATGTCATACTTAAATTAGCATTCTTAATAATTATCCATAGCTTACTATTATCTAGTTAGCATTGATAACTATGTTATACATAGCTTACTATGCAATAGTTATCACTAACACTTTCCATTATCAATAATTATCCACACTTGGACACTGACAGTTAATGAAGCTGGTCTATTGATACCTTGTTGACCCTGCCACCCCTTTCTCTAACTTTTACTAGAGGTACCAAATTTTACTATAATATCCAAGCCAACAGCTGCATTCTTTTTTTGAGAAATTCAAAATTTACCCCCATGTAATAATAATTTTTTCTTTCTCAATGTGTTTCCTGGGTAAATGCCAAGTATATTTTCTTAAATTATCATTCACTATACTTTCACATGGCTACACCAGGCTTATTATAAATGGTACTGCCCAGAAAATACTGTATTCATTTTGAAGGAAATGGAAGCATTACATCTTAAATGTGACCAAAATATCTCTTTCATGTGCCACTGGGGCAAATTTGAAGAATATTTTATATGTAATCAGAGTATTACCATTACTTCAATGTTGCTCTGATGATAAATTTCTCCAGTATGTGCATGACAACCACATCTTGCCTGCATGATGGGTACATTTTTTCTGTGGCTTTTCAATTTGCCCCCTGATTACATTGGATGCATTTCATTTGATATGTCATATACATGTGCTCAGCAGTCCCATGTTAATTGCATTTGTGTGTGCATATTTACTTTAGCATGGTGATACATCAAGCATGTGACCAGAATCCGCCTATTGGGCACATTGTGGTCACATATTAAATAAACAAATCAGCCACATATGATAGCCCATTTTAATGGGCATATTTTTTCTGTGGCTAGGAATTCCATGATATTTGCATTTTGGAGCTTACTTGAATTAAATTTCAAATGTGCATGGTAGGCATATGGGAAGAATATGGGAGAGCATTAATGCCTCCAATCAACATTTGCTTACTCATGTGCCCATTGGCCAAATAGCTGGTTCTCCCCTGTGGGAAGGGAAAGGGATGGTCACGGCAGTGTGACCATCCCACAAACAGGCGACGTGACGATATGGCACACCCTCAAGTAAGTCACGTGACCTCACCCCGCAGACTGAACAAAATCATGAATCCTTATTGCAGCTATCACTGACCCACACTATATGTAAATTATAATATTTCCATTCATTGATTAATAAAATTGTAGGTATAGTTTGTCTATTGTATTGTGCATTTTCGCTTTTTTAGTTATATTCATATATAATAATAATAATATACTGGAATGACTGGACTCCACTGGACTCCACTGGACTCTGACTGGACTCATAGTCCACTGGACTGGGACTGGACTCAGGAAAGTGGCTGGCAGTCCAGTGGACTGGACTGGACTGGACTGGACTGGACTCCAGTGGACTGGGCATTCTGCCAGCCAATCTGGCCTGGTAAGAGGGCCACTGGAATCCACTGGAGTCCACTGGAGTCCACTGGAGTCCATATGGATTACGTGGGGGAGGGTAAAGACCTCGCAGACTCCATCTGGACTCCAGCTTGATGATCCAAAAAATATACATTTGATTCTATTTGAGGTAGACTCCAACCGGAGTGTGTGGGGGAGTGTAAAGTACACGTGGAAGGTGTGGATGTCCTGGACGTAGAAGCAGGAGTGGGCTCAGTCAACGAAGAAACACCCATAAGTGCATCAACAACCCCCCTGCAACCTTGCAGCACCCATCAAAATAGCCAACGTATACTCCGGCATCTGTATCCTGCTCCCACCCCTCCCCACACAATCACGCTCCTGGCTACACCACGGTGTGTGAGCGGGATACCACCGAACGTTGGCCCGACCAAGGCTGAGGAGATACCCGAAACGAGGAAGGGCTCGAACCCTCGCGCATGGGAGAAAACTACCTCTTCAGATCCTATGGAGGATCGGCTTCTTTTAACTTCATAGTGGGAGTAAGTTCATGACGAGAATATACTCTAAGAGAAAGAACATACATGAACCACTTCCGCGCGCCTTGATTCTTCCTGGCTTTTAGCTGCATTCCTGGGGAACTTCTCCACGATGAAGAATTCTGTCTTGCTAGGTCTGAGGTTTAGCATACCCTGCAGGACGAGCTTGTCTGCCAACGTGAGGTCCATGTGGATAGTGAGGATGTGGTGTGTGAGGAGGGGGAAGAAGGAGTGTCCGCCCAGAGCCCAGCAGGATAATTCCAAGAAGACGTGAATGGGTGGTGGGTTCAGAAGTTTCAGCTCGCTTCGTCCGAGAGGGTAGATAGTTTGGAGAGTATTCGCTCAGTTGGGGGACCCATTAGGTTCAGATTAATTTGTCAACAGTGGGGTTGGGAGTGAGTGCACCACTGTCCTTTGCGGACACGTCTGCATGGGTTTTTGCAGTAGATATATATATTTCGTTGTATAATAGATCTTGCTTCTTTATGTCTAAATATATGTCAACAATGCACAGTTTTAAATCTGAGGTGATATTTCTGCTCTACAGCTTTGTTTTTTCTAGAAAGAACCTCGGAAAATTCACCAAATATATCTTTAATAATGTTCTGACGCTTCCGAATAGTTTCCCTCCGTCGATTGCAACCATGATAGCTGGATTCGACAAACCTGTTTTGGATGACGTTGGCCTTTTGACGCCTTTGGTACACAATAGTAAACATTGATGTAGGGTGAATTTGATACCATGCGGCCACCTCCGTGTCTGCCAGGCTCTCCTCAAAATGGTATAGATGGCAAGCTCAATTCATTCCCTTTCCTTCCTGTACTAAAACTTTGGACTTTCGCACTGTCCTGGTGAGTAAGACAACATAACTTTCCTGTGCAGATTTGAATGATGCCTTCAGTACACAAATGTAAACAATGGTTGAAGTGGCTACCCATCACCCAGGGCAATCCACCCTTCCCATATAAGAGCAGGAAAAGTAGAATACATGTTACCTTGACTCATGTGTAATGTTTTTATACAAACAAATCGAAGGACAGTGTCAGCTACATGATAATCTAATCATCGTCCTCGAAGAATGCCTCGACGGCCGGATCGAGGACCGTCGCGCTTCCCTCACCACTGTCCTCATCACGCGTAAAGGGTACCAGAGGCTGGTCCCAGAGGTGAGTGAATCGCGCGTGAATATCACGCTGGATACCAGCCTGTCGCACTGCATACGCCTTCACCCCTTCGCATGCTGCTGCATCTAGACCTGACCATCCTTCTTGACGGTCGTCCCACCACGATGCCTTCCACTCAAGAGTTCTCCGAACCCTCCTCATCTCTTCTTTCAATAGCATCACCTCCTCCGACCACCGTAAGCTCCTTGCTCATGCCTTGGCCCACTCGACACGTAGAGCTGAGGAAACTTAGCGCCATGATGTACTCAACCAAAAAAGACGTACCCTCATTCAAACCATCGTTCAAACTGTCATCTTCTCCATGCCCTTTTACTCTCCAGATCCATGAAACCATGCGCCCACCCTCCCTGAGTCCCCTTTCAAGGGCAACTCACCGTTTTTTCGACAAAAGGCAGCCATCTGGTCCAATCTCATCGTTCGGAATCTCTATGCTAATTTCAGTGCCGTCAGGTGTCGTTAGGTCTCCATCATTCAGCTCCTTCAACTCCCTTTCCCAATCGCCTGGACCGATCAGCTCAAGCAGTGCCTGACGTGTCGCATGGTATTTGACAGCGAGTGCCTTGCACTTGTCCTCAATATGGCTAATCGTGTCTGTGGCTCGCGTATTTGGGTTTTGACCTCGAATGTTTCTGTTGCGAAAGCCAATGAACGACAGCTGACCTCGTTGAAGAGTCCGAATCTTCTCTAGTGCATCCAGGCATTGTGCTTGCCGTAGCCTTGTTTCGATGTTGACCAAACCTGCCCGGCAGTTGTGAATGCGATGATTGACCAGAAGGGCAGAGGGAAGCCACAGCTGCTGGTGCAGGAAGGTGCTGCTGAGCTTCCTCTGCTTGAGCAAGCATGACGGCGGCTGCAGGGGTGTAAACATCTTGCAAGTTATGGAACTGTTTTAGCTGATGCATCAGCACCAGCCGCCGTTGTTGTAGTTCATTGTCTCGATGTACCATCAGTGCCTCGGGTCCCCTCGCATCCCATGCGATGCGCCGTCTGAATGACAAAATGGTTTTAACGTGTGACTGAGAACGGCCTCACTGATTTTCCTCAATCAACAAACCCATTGAGATGAATGCGGTTGGTCCAGTTGAATGGACGTGTGGGACACCGGCCGCAAGCTCTTTCTTCTCCTCTTCCAAAAGCTGATTCTTGATGTCATTTTGGGATGCATCTAGAGCAGGGCACGTAAATATATTTATATGACTGTATCAGATATGAAAACTTACGAGTGATGAGCGAAACGTAAGGGTTCGGCTTGCTCGGATCTTCCTCCCAATCAAGAACCATCGCCGTCCACTGCTCAATATTGACCCTCCCACCCTCACGGAGAGAGTCCGTAAACTCGTTGAATATTTGAACTTGCCGCTTCTGTTCTTTAACGGCCGACTGGTGGGCAGCACTTTTATCATAAAAACAAGGTAACTGCCTATGGCTCCCTGTGTATCCATCCACACTCTTTATGATAGGGAATCATTCCTGTTACCATGTCTTTTCATTATCATAAAGCCTGCGCTTTTTTCATTAAATGGAGGCAAGGCCTTATTACCAATTTCATATCTTTACAAAGGCATATCATTGCGATTTTCATTACTTATCTGGCCAGTATCATTGGAAATTTCATTAGCTACTTGGGCGACATCATTGCGATTTTCATTAGTTACTTGGGCAATATCATTGGCAATATCATTAGTTACTTGGGCAATATCATTAGTTACTTGGGCAATATCATTGGAAATTTCATTAGCTACTTGGGCGACATCATTGCGATTTTCATTAGTTACTTGGGCAATATCATTGGAAATTTCATTAGCTACTTGGGCGACATCATTGCGATTTTCATTAGTTACTTGGGCAATATCATTTGGAAATTTCATTAGCTACTTGGGTAACATCATTGCGATTTTCATTAGTTACTTGGGCAATATCATTGGCAATTTCATTAGTGAGCTTGGGGTGTTGCTCACTGTTGGTGACGACATTGGGAGTGGTTTTCAGGGTCCAGGGCGCATTTCCAAATATGGTAATACAGCTGAAAATAGCCAGAAAATATCCAAAAAATCAGAAAAAAATGGGGGATGGTGCTCATTGTTGATGATCATATTGGGTAATGTTGTCAGGGTCCAGGGTCCAGTTCCAAATATGGTAATATATCCAAAAATAGCCAGAAAATGGCGGAAAAATTGAAAATATATATAAATGGTGTACAGAACATCAGGCACTGCCTTCAGGGTCCATCCCAACAGGGAAATATCACCTGGTTTTACCAAAAAGCAAAGAAAACCAAGAGGAGAATGATTTTACCTATCAGGGTCCATGTAATGGGATGTTGGGATGATGGTCACATGACCAATTACCAAAAATGGTCAAAAAACGAAAGTTGTAGCCCTACACTGTAGCTTCCCGAATCTGTTTGAATTATATTCTGAAGTGCTCCCGTTGTGGAGATATGAGGTAAAGGACTTTCAAAAGTGTCGCGTTTTTTTTTGTTTTTTATATTTTTCTCATGAAAACAAAACCAAATAACATGATTTCAGTATATTTAGAAAGTCCGAAAACCTTGTCACTACGCAATTTTTCGCAACACATCAGCAATATAATATATGAGTGATATATTAGCTGAGTAATCAGGTCCACGCCAGGGTTCTTCCCAATCTGTGAGTACTTCCGCATTTATTTGCATCGAGTACTCCATATGCGTTATCCTCCCCCTTTCTGACTCGACCGTATTTCTCGTATGTTTCCTCGTGTTCCTCCCGGGACTCCTCCTCCTGCATATAGCCGTGCATCGCCGCCACCACCTTTCTATTTTCCACCAACTCAAGGTGACGAGGTGGAGATTGTGGAGCCTCCTTCACCGTCTGTAAGTGAGATGGAAGTTCAAATTTTTGGTGCGTCGCTTTCTTCTCTCCAGCCGTTATAGCGCTAAAAGACTTCCAGGCCACCCAATCGCACCAGTTCACACACCCCACACTCCCTATTCCAGTCTTTCTCGTCCCTCAACACCTGTCATTCCTTTGCGCGAAGTGCGCTCTACTTTCGAAATGCCCATCATTCCTTCACACACACACACTGTCCCTTCCCATATACCCGTTATTCCCCCTCGGTCCTCCACTCCCATCATCCGCTCCAGCACGCCCATCATTCCTTTGCGTGAAGCGCCCAATCCTTTTGACACGCCCATCGTTCGTTCACACGGACACACTGTCACCTCTCAGATACCCATCATTCCCTCTCGGGAACGTATACCCATCCCAACAACCCCGATTGGTCCCCCCACGCCAATACCTCAACCAAAGCGGACTCGAACAACAGCGCCGTGTGTCATTACCCCAACAACGCGAACATCAACACCTCGCACACCTCTTCCTTCTCAACCTCTTGCACCAGTCGAGGACAACACCACTGAAACCCTGCCTGCCGAGTACGAGATCATGGTTTGGCCTGTCAAACCAACTCGAAAGGCTGCCGGCACTGGTCGCACTAAGAAGCCTGCTGCCAGGGTGGACCCCCATGGTCTCGGCCCTGGGCTGGCTGATGTTGGTATGGAGTGGGAGTCTTTTTTGGAGGTTATTGCTGATGTTCTCGAGACGGACCCGACTTTCCTTTTTGTTGACAGCATGGAGTGGCGCTGGGTTAAGCCAGCCAACTCTATGTTCTTGCCTCTGCGTTCCCGATTAGCCTATGTTTCAATGATAAAGCAGCTCAAGGCTCCTCCGAAGAATGTCTCAGGTAGTTACATTATTGTTCGTATGGATGAACCTGTTAAGAAACCAGTTGATCGGACCAAGGTGAGTTGCCCATGTTCAACGCTTTGCACAATCTGATCCTGCAACAGCCCTGGAATTCCTCCAACTCGGGGACTGCTGCTGTTGAGGAGGATAGCCTGTCTGATGTCGACGATGGTCTTCCTCGAAAAAAAGTAAGTTAAGTTTATTTTGAAGCTGACATTTTCATTAACTGTGCCAGCCTCGATTCGATGACCAGGTAGATGACTTGGTTCAGCAAATCGAAGCGAAGTACCCAGCTGGTACTTGTGTTGTCCACCCCGATGTCGAGTGCTTCCACCACCGCCCAACGGATTGCCATTTTGAGCTTACGCGGATAACCAAGGTTGCGTGGGCTGCTCACATTGTGCGTCGTCAATGATTACTTAATTAAACACATGTTTATTGACTCATATTCATGTAGCGGAAAGGGGACGCTTCACTCATGTGTCCCCCTCTAGCCTCAAATCACTTCAAAGCAAAGAAAGGCATGAAGGTTCCGAAGACCCCAGTAGCAGGCCCATCTACTCCCATATCTCCACCTGATTCTCACTCCTCTATCACTCCTTCTGCTCCTCATCCCCACATGTTCCCATATCCATACACTCAACCTCCAATGCCCTATCCTTACCCTTTCCCGATGCCACCTCCAGCTCCACACTATGGCTATCCTCCTGGTTATCCACCATACTTTGGTCATGGACCTCCCCACTCATTGCCCTCTCCCTCTCGTCACCGACATGGAAACTCCTCACCACCACATGGTTCTCGACACCAATCTGGTGATGGGAGATCCTCTCCTCCCATACCTGGGGGCTCAGTCGAGGAATTTTGCATGAAGTATAATTTTCCAGCGTCCATCCGTGACTCGCTAACTGAGATGGGCTTTGAGATTGGTGACGATCTCTCAGCTTTGAAGGATTCCCAGTGGGAGCATGCTTCTATCCCCCCACTCGCAGTCAATCGCATTATCAAAGCATATAGTAAGTATAAGAAGTTCTTGCTCGATGGTAACTAGGTTTTGTTTCCTCCCTTTTCCCATCCGCTTTTCGACTTTTCACCTCACGTAAATGGCTCCTCCCTCCCATAACTTGCTTATTCCCCTCTGTGTGTTATATTCGTAGATAGAGTGACAGCCATATAATTAGTGGAACATTCTTTCTATTTTAATAAATTCTCTTTCGCTGTATGATGTCTGGATGGATTGCGAGTTATACATAGCCAGAGTGTGCAAACCATCCTCTTGCCATCTCGGCAGTTACATGACCACAAGCCTCCAGCAAGTCAAGCTCTGGGTGCTCACTATTCATCATCCGGCGCCAGTGCCGACGAATCCAAGCTTTGACTGTGAATGATAATCAGCAATGGCAGGTCTGGAAGAGGGAGAAAAAGTGTACTTGAACTGAAGCTCTCCTCAATGGGGTTCATATCGGGTGAATAAGCAGGCAGGAAAATCAAGCGACAGTCTACAGGCAATAAATTATGAGTTCTGTCAAGCAGCAATGGAGCTTACTTTTTGCTTCAACCATTTCTCGCAGCAATGCACTTTTGTGAATTGCACAATTATCAAGGATCAGAACACTATGATCCTGTGGGTATGGGTTCATTTGTGGGAGCTATAACAAAAAAAACTGTGAGTGGATAACCAATAGATCAGTGTGAAAGAGATACAAACAATATCCTCAACAATAAAATCAAAGAACTCATCTGAATCGACGGAGCCTGCAACAACCCTCGTTCCAACAAATCCTTCCACCGCCATCGCAGCCAGGATACTGTATCTTTCTCCACGAACAAAATCTGCATCGATTTCTGCTCAATGCCCACTAGGAGCCCGCCCACGTCTACAAAAAATGGTCCGATCATCTTTGCTGGATTCATCAACTGTAATAATCATTGAAGCAACAAGATGATTCCTCGCAAAATCACGAAACCTCTCCCGAGCCTCCTCATCACGTTCAGATGCAGCCTTACGAAGAACTTTATATGTGACTCCAGCATCCCGGATGAGGACGTGTAGTGCTGTTTTCGAGATTGACAGATCTTGGGTAATGGCCACCCATTCCTGAATCTCATCAAGATACATTTCAGGTGCGTCGTCCAGTAAGGTGAAGAGATCATGAGTCTGATCAGCATTGAGCGTGCGTGGGCGACCCTGTAGAGGATTACGAGGGCGGATGACGTTGCCATAATTTTCGACATTTGCCTGCCAACTGTAGATGCTGCGTCGTGAAACACCAAATATGTCTGCAACATCGTCAGGAATGAAGTCATTTTCAAGGAGCCACAGAACGCGCTCCTTTAGATCTTGACTAATGTGCCGAAACACCATAGCTGAAGTGTGGCACTAGAGGGGAGAGGAAACGAGCAGATGTTCAATGTTATCTGATCCATCCAACGGCGGCGTGAAATGTCACAGCTGTGACATGTGTGACGAGCTTCACTTTCTACCATATTGCAAGTCAGAAATGACCAGTGCTCTGGATTTTTGCATGATGAGGTAGAGTAAATTGAAGGGATTCCGTAGGTACCATAATTGTATCTTCAAGCTATTTCCCCCTATGATAAAAGTCGAAAATACTATTTCCCCGCAACGTTTGATTAGATTAGTAATTGATCTGAAATCTTCGAAATCGCCAATTTAGCCCTGTCCCTGTAGACTCGAAACCAGTCTCCTTAGGGTGCTAGAGACGAAGAAACGCGAAAAGAAGAAAATGTGGAAAGAATTAGCACCCAAGGAGACTGGTCCAACATAACCGTAACGTAGTACATGGGAATTTCAAACCCAGCCGATACCCTTTTTGGGTATGATCGAGGCGCGTCATTGCGCGTCGTCATTCGCGTTCACCAAGTTTCACCTTCTCCTGCAATAAATATGGTTTTTTCACCGCTGTGCGCTAATCGAAGAACATGGCCGCGGCCACTGGGTCATCAAGACCTCGTCGTGTTGCAGTCTGACAGTACAAACCACATGAGGTCGACCGTCGTCTCCTTGCTCAGCATTGCAATGAACAGCTTGGGAGGGAACCTTTTGACTGGCAATTAGATGCCTCTGTCTCAGTTTTGTGTGGCCAAGACGTAATCCTCGATGTTGGAACAGGCAATGGGAAGACTCTGGTGTTCAGTATACCACTGCTCATGGATCCGAAGGACATCAATATGATTGTATCACCGTTGTCTGCACTTATGATAGACCAGGTAAGTCTCCTCCTTTTGAGGTTTATATTATCATACTAATAACAAATTAGGCTCGTTCCTCCACCATCCCAACTGCAGCAGTTTGCAGTGAGACAATTGCTGAGGCAGGTAGCAGGGATAGACTCTTCGAGGCACGTCCTTCTTCAATCTCTCTAGCACTGTTCCTTACCCATTTCAATAGAGCATCGTTTCAGGGAGCTTCCGTCAGGTCATCGTATCCCCGGAGATCGTCGTTTCAGCTCCATTCCGGGCAGGAGTTCTATCTAAGACTGAATTCACGGACCATCTTCGTGCAGTCTGCATCGACGAAGCTCACTGTGTTAGTCTCTGGGGTGGAAGCTTCCGTCCTGATTACGCTGAACTTGGCGTCCTTCGGGCACGTCTTCCCCCTCACGTTGTCATGATGATCGCATCTGCAACCTTGCCCGACCACATTTTGGATGACATCCGGCGCAGGCTCTCGATCACGAAGGATGCGCAGCTCGTGGCACTAAGCAATGACCGCCCAAACATTGCACAGAATGGAGAGGAAGCTGAATAAAGTGGGAGCGACACTTTGCGCATCCTTGAGCAGTGTCTCAAGCGAGAACTCCTGGAGGATGGAAGACAGTTCCTTCCCCCTATCAGGCTGAAGAACCCTCCCGAGTAAAAATCCCTCGTGTCGAAGCTTGTCCTGAAAATGGGCTGACATCCATTCCTCCACCACAACCTTTTGACGGACATGCATGGCATCTAACAACTCTTTTCCATGTGCTATGAGCATTTGAGATACTTGAGAGGAAAGACGACGATCCTTGGTGCCAAAAAGTTCAGAAATGTATCCAAAGAGGGACGGTACCCTGCAGCAATCCTCGCCCTTTCCATCTCCTCCAAACGACTGGTTTCCAGCTTCTGCTTCTCCTCTGCAGCCCGCTGCTCCTGCAGACTCTTTTCCTTCGCAACTTCCTTGTCCTTCTCCAGCCACAGCTTGCGCGATTCGTTTCGAATTTGAGGAGTGATTGGCTGAAGAACACGGCGGGTTTTCTTTGTTGGGGGACCCGAATGATTGATGAAAGTGGGCGTTGGTGTCGCGTTTTCGTCGGTTTGGGTGTGCTTTCTGGGTGTAATGAACATTGGGAATATAACTGGGAGTGATAGTGCACGAAAAGGGGGTTAAATGGCTAGGTACACAAAGGCAACGCGAGTCGCGTCGAGATCATGCGTCTCGATCACGTCCAAAACGGGTATCGGCTGGGTTTAAAATCCCCATGTACTTCATCACGGTTATGTTGGACCAGCCGCTATTGGAGGTAATTCTATACACATTTTTTCTTTTCTCCCGTTTTACCTCCAATAGCGGCTGGTAACGAGCCTACTGTCCCTGGTTACTCAGCTCATATATCACTCATATATTATATTGCTGATGTGTTGCGAAAAATCGCGTAGTGACAAGGTTTTCGGAATCAGCTGTAAGAATTGATGAAGGTCAACATCAACATTATAGTGAACAGATTGAGTGGTATCCCTCACAGGCAACAGTCATTTCAGCACCCACTGACACCAGGCCTACATTCAGAACAGAAGCAGTGGTACAACAGTGGTAGGCAAATGAGAATTCAGGAAATGACAGAGGTTTGAGGTTAACACAGACCAGTGGAGATAGGTAAAACCTGCTGTGAGCACTCAATCTCTCCTTCCCCAGGGACTTCAAACAGATCACCTGCAAATTTGATTTTGATGAGCAATCAATGTTCACTTTGGGGCAGGAAGATTGAGATGTGGCTCACTGGTGGCTGGCATGGCTATGTCCTCTGCACCGATGGTGGAAGATGGAGTTATCAAGACGCTACTGCCATCCGCGCATTCAGACATTTAGCTGGTAGCACAAGATCATGGACTCTAACCTCAAACCGCCATAGCGTTTATTACCAGGGTGGTCGGTGCTTGTGACTTGATTGTGGAGACGCGCACTGTCCGCAAGCGATTGCGGCTGATGACTAATCGCACAGCCACTCAAAATGTGGCTAATTGGCATCCAAGCGACGTTTTCACTCTAGCATTGGTCTATGGTTGTTAAAATGACCATATAATATACTTTGAGATCTTGAATATCAATAATGTTACTTTGGATATAATTCAGACCAGTCAGAGTCACACTGTCAGTTTTTATCACCGCCCACTTTGCGCCCACTGTCATGTTTTCTGTCCCGGAAAGTAATTAACTCTAGATCAACGCCTGCATTTGGTGAGACAGGAATGCGATTGATTGTTCCCGAGTACTCCAGTGCACAACGCTGGTTTTTACTGGTTTCTTGAGCACGAAGAATTGCCTTTCTTTGTTTATTGGACTTTCTCCTTCGCTTTTTTGGACCTAGAGCCATTCAGAGTGTGATGTTGGTGAGTAATAAGTGTTTTCAGGAAGAATAACGTCTTAGCATGGAGGGTACGTCGTTTTTCGCGACACCTTGCGGGCTCGACGCGTCTTGGACACGTGTTATGTAATCCCTTAATTACAGCTGGCGCGTCAAAAATTAAAAACAACTTTTCTCCTCACCACAACTTTCCATCACTCCCATTTTTTTTCTAGTCGATTAATGGCATGCATCTCTTGGGGGTCTACAGACTATTTTTTTTATTTTTCACTGTTGAGTGTATTATCATGTCATGATGTTGCCAATGCAACGCGAATTTCAAAAATCCACTCTGAAGACCCCCTACGCATTGGAACCTAGCCCCGATATGGACAAAAATCTGGCCGAAATCTGCCGAGATG